ACAGCAGGCTCTTCGGGGAGGTGGTGAGATATCTGGGGACCCTAGGCCATTGGGGACCCTCCCCCTGTCCGGTCTCCTGGCTGATCTCCAGGTTTGGGGGAGCTGAGTGTGTCTGGGTGCGGGGAGTGGACAGCAGCTCCAGTCTGCCCAAGCTCCAGGCTTGTCTCTGGAGCGGAATTCCAGGACACATCTGTGACCCCAGCCCAGTGGGACCATTCACCCCATCCCAGCTCCAGGACTCCTGGTGGGCTGGCACTGGGCAGGGGAGCATGGGCTCGCTGTTTGGTGAGCAGAGCAGCATTGTCCCCTGCTGGCCACTGACAGGATGTGCTCTGGGGTGGAGCCTTTGGGGAGGGCAGGCGTATCTGGGTGCCCAATAGCAGGTCCTTTGCCACCTTGTGTTTCCCCAGTTCATTGGGGGAGCATCTGAAGCACACCCTGACCCTACCTTTCACCTCTTCCCGGCAGCGCCCAACCTGCAGCACCCCGCAGTGGGAAGGGGGCGGTAATCATGGAATCACCCAATCCCGTGGTGGTGTCACCCCTCGTGGCCAGGGCCTGACAGTGCGTCCCTGGCACTATCCTGTGTGCAGGTTTGGGCCGGTCCGGATTGGGCAGCCCCCACCTCCTCTCTGGCTCATCAGGAAGATGAAACTTCCAAGCCCCCATTCCCAGCCTCTCGGGAAGACGAGGACCTGTTGAACTATGCAACTCCTGCCCCAACACCCCAAAGAGCTTATCTCTCCAGGCTGGGTTTGTGTAGCCCCTTCCCCAGCACTCCAGAGAGCAGGTTTGCAAACAACGAGATGACTTCCCAAGGGTCACATCCTGACTCAAGGCCCTGCAGCTGCAAGCAATACAATTTCTCCCTTCCTTCTGTCAACGTCTACTTCCTTAGCTCAAGCCTTATGTATCTCCCACCGCCTCACCGACAAGCTGTGGTTTCCCTGACCTAACTCTCGGAACCGGGTTTTGGGTCTCGGAACCGGGTTTTGGGTCTCGGAACCTCTCACAGCAGCATAGCTCTGCCCTCTGGTTCCCCTCACCAGGCCAGGGAGAGCTGACTAGCCCCGGATTTGCCTGGGTGTCCCCGAATGGAAATTGGGGTGCTAAGATCTCATTGTGGAGAGGTGCCCGTGTCATGCTGCTCTTGGACCTGGGGCTGCTGTGACTGAGACCTGACTCCATGGCACTGAGCAGCAATAATAAGGTCACATCCTGACTGCCCTGGTCAGAGGGTCCTGAACCGACCTAGTAAGCCCTCTGTCCAATACAATGTACTTGACCCAGCCACGGTCCGTTCCATCTGTCACGGGGGTGTATTGATCTGCCACCAATCCTCTTCCCCCCACGGGCGTGGTCTCCCCATCTGGATACATTTGTCTTTGTCTTCCTCTTGTCCTGTGTAAGATAACAACTGTTTTCTTAAAAATAGAATAAAATAGATAAACTTAAGGAGGAGGACATCCCCTTCTCTCAGAGCCAACTTAAGAAATGTGCCCCTCTCCGTGTCTCTGATACAAGTATGGAGTCTGGGGGCCACCTCAGCTCCAAGGGCCCAAGGCAGCCTCCGTCCACACAGACACTGGGGGCCACCTCAGCTCCAAGGGCCCAAGGCAGCCTCCGTCCACACAGACACTGAGGGCGGGGATGAGGCCCGGCGGGCGGGCCACCTCCACTCCAGGGCTGAAAGGGCCCGCTTTTTCCGGCCTTTGCCGACATGTTGCACCCTGGTTGTTTGCGAACAAGCTGCTTTCCTTCTTGTAGACCCCGGGGGCTTGGTGCTCCGGGCTGGGTCTTTCTGCCCTTCTCCAGTAGCCCCAGCCGCCGTGCTCGAAGGGCCTGCAGAGCTGGTGCCCAGTCAGTGGTTGCATGGACAAGTAGTCACATTGTTACCAGTTTTACAGAAGGGGAGGTGAAGTTCAAGGTCTCAGGGAGGAAACGGTGGGGTGTGGGGCTGCGTCTCAGACTTGGTGCTGGGGACCAAGGGGACAGTGGGGCCTGTGCAGGAGCTTGCAGTCTGGACAGGGTCTGAACACCCCTTCTGGGAGCTGCCCCACTGCCCCAAAGGTGAGGGGCCCTGCCTGGGCTCTAAAGGGCTGGGAAAACTCTTGGCCTGAGGGAGGGGACGGGGAGGCTGTGGCACACAAGCTGGAAGTGAAGCTTTGGGCCCGGGGGTCCCTTGACGGAGTGGAGTGGGGCAGGGGCGCAGGCTCAGCTGGGAGGTTTGCAGCCTCTGCATGCCCACCCCCCCTCCAGCCTTTGATGCCGTGCTCGGGTGGCCACACCTCTGAGGCTCCAGGCTGTAATTTGTCGTTACATATAGCGGGCGGCGCCAGGCCTGCCCATGGGCAGGCTGGGCCTATAAGAGCCTACCAGAGTGCCCACCCTCAAAGCAGGCATGGACAAAGAGACTGCCCCAGAACCCATTGATACGCATACCTTTGTGACGACTCCCAGGCCCCGATGGCCCACAAGGCGATGGCACTGCCCACATGGCCCTTGCGCTGGGGGCGCTGCGCTCTCCACCAGCGTGAGACCACCTGACCTGGTCAGTCTTTGGCACCCTCTACCTGAACCTGTGCTGCTTGGGCTTCCTGGCTCTGGCCTGCTCTGTCAAAGTAAGCTGCTGGGGGCCCATGGGGGGAGGCCCGTGTCCTTCCCCAGCCGATGCTTGGGCGAGGGGCTGTGTGCTGGGGGAGCCCAGGGGGCATCTTCCACACCAGGCCTTTGAATATTCTGGGATCTCTCCGACTCCTAGGGTCCTGGGGTATGTGTGTCTCAACTCTCACTCAGAGAGGACCTGGGCTGGGAACCCGGTGTGTCCCTGAGGCCACAGCCCTCCATCAGGCTGCGGGGGTGGGGAGGCAGAGATGCCCAGGTCCCCAGCCCACAGTGCCCGTCCACAGGCCCGGGACTGTAAGGTGGCTGGGGACCTGGAAGCGGCCCGCCGTCTGGGCTCCAGGGCTAAGTGCTACCACATCCTGGCCGCCGTGTGGACACTGGTGCCTCTGCTGCTGCTGCCAGCCCTGGTGGTGACTGGTGCCTTGCACCTGTCTCAGCTAGCCAAGGGCTCCACCACCTTCTTCAGCACCAAGTTCGATGAGGATTCGGACTACAACTGATCCTCCCACCAGGTGTTCCACGGCCCCGATGACCCACTTCGAAGCCTCAGGTCGGCACCGGCACCGGTGACTATTTGGTCAGCTCCCTACCCCCATGCTGAAGACCCACCCATTTGGACCTATGGCCTCTCCTCACCCTAGGGTCCCTAACTGCCCTAGTGGTGGCTCCCTTCCCCTCCCTTTGGGCTCAGTTCAGAATTAAAAGCCTGGCTCTGCAAAGTGCATCCTTCCTGGTTGCGTGGAGGGGAGCCCCCAGCACTGCCTTTGGTGGGGAGCCCCCCAAGCGCTGGGCAGCCAGCACCTTCTAGGAGCTCAGGTATAGACCAATTGCTGTGCTAGATTCCGCTTAGTGGTGTCCCCTCCAGAACAGAGGTGGGGCCCAGGGAGGGGCTGATTCCACGGGCCTCACTCCTGTCCCTGTGCATTCAAGCACACCAGTGTCTTTGCCTGGCAGGTAAGTGTGTGCACGGACCTGCACCCTGGATCACCATCCCCAGGGCAGAGGGCCTTCCATTTGGAGAAAACCTAGCCCCACAGCCGGGCTCACCCTGCAGGGTGCTTGAGGGCAGCAGACGGAGGGTGGGGGCCAGGGAAAGGAAGGGGGGTTACACATGCGTTGATCCCCAGGCTTGTGTCACTCATGCCCATGTCCACTCTTCCCAAGCACACACACGAGGCACACAGCCCTGTCTCCCACTCTCCTGTCTCTCACACACATGCAGAGGCAGATAGGGAGGAGAGGTTTGGGGGGAGGGGGCGTTTCTCAACATCTGAGGCATGGGCGCATGTCCCCCTGGCCCCCACAACTGACAGAGCCTGGCAGAGCCAAACATTTCCCCCCAACCCCAGTGTGAGGCCTCAGCCAGCATGCGGCTGGGGCTCTAAGCACCACACCCAGGGCGCCTCCTTTCCTGCTTCCCTGGCCCCTGGCCTTTCAGGATGCAGCCCAAGCCGAGAGGGGCTGGCCTGACCCCAGAAAGCATGACACCAACGACCTGCTATGGTGAAGCCAGCTGTACCAGTCTGAGGGATGCCCCCACATGGTCCCACCTCCCATGTCCCAATTTGCTGGTTGATTCCTTGGGGGGCGGGGGCGGGGGCTATGAGAAGCAACTCCTGGGGAGGGCAGGGGGTTAGACAGACACACCACCAGCCTGGAGGGCCAGGCGGCTGACGGAGCCGGGACAAGGTAGGAGGGCTGGAGTGGGCTCGGCTGGCCAGGGGCTCTGGGAAGGGCAGGGGCAGGGGATGAGCACAGGGACCCCCAGAAACTTCTCAGGGCAGCACCTGGGAGAGGGCCTGGGGTGGAGGCACCCTGGTATCTTCCAAGAGGCCTCCTGGAATCCCAGCCGGAGCCTCCCCTCCTGGAGCGGGGCAGCTGCAGGGACATCTTTGTATCCGGCCAGCGGATCGAGGAAAGGAGACCTTGTGGCCTGGAGGAGAGAGGATCATGGGGCCAGGCCCTGGGGCCACCCACCCAGAGGCCAGTGTTGGGGGCAGGGCGCCACCTACCTGGGGGCAGGGCTAGCCGAGCCTGGGTCGGGCTCAGCTCGGCCTCCAGCGGGGGCGCCCAGGGCCCGGTGCGGACCGTGACCTCCAGTGTCACCCAGCCCTCGGAGAAGGAGAAGTCGAGCTTGCTGCCCTGGTAGCAGAGGCCAGAGACGAAAACACCAGAGACCTCCGCCGGACACACAGGATCAAAGGTTATCCCTGCCCTGGTGAACCTGGGGACAAAGGCGGTTTCTGCGAGGAGGCGCAGCTGGGTCAGGGAGACCACTCAGCCACCACTGCACCCACCTGAGCCCCGTGAACCCAAAGAGGGCCGCCTGCAGGAAGCCCCCGATGCCCGTCAGGAAGTTCACGGCTCCAGACCCGTCAGCATTCTCGGTCCACACCTGTGAGGCCACGCTGGTGAGGCCTGGCCAGGACAGCACCTCCTGAGGCTGGGGGGCCTGCCAGGCTGGATCCCCGCTGGCCCCACACTCCCACCTTGAAGGGCTCTGTGATATTGGCGAAACTCCTTTCCAGAAGCTGCTGTCCCCGAGCCGGCTCCTTCAGTTCCAGCCAGCCCACCGCAAACATGCTCTGTGTGTTGGGAGGACCCAGGACCCAGACTGAGGCTGCTGCTCGGGGCGGGGAGCCCAGCTCCCACCCCAGCCTCCTCACCCAGGTCATGGCAGGGCCCTGGGGGGACGTCACGGCCTCGTACACCTCCAGGTTCCTCCTCCGGACACTGGGGCTCAGGGAGAAGGGGACAGGGTAGCCCAGGAGCACAACGTCTGCCTGCTTCACCTCCTCACCTGCAAAGCAGGGGTACGGGTGGCTGAGGGCAGGGCACTGGCAGGCAGGTGCTGCTGATGGGAACCAGGGCTGCTCTGGGAGGAGGGGGCGTTCAGAAAAGACTCAAGGCTGAGGGGGGATTCAGTTGCACCTTCTCTGGGGTCGGGAGGCTCGGAGAAGCTTGGAGTCCACTCACCAAGCTGGTACCCATCAAACTCGGGGTGGAAGTTCCTCTCCGGGTCAAAGGGCACCTTGATCTTGTTGGCCACCATCAGCCACCGGTCAGGGATGGGCAGGCCCAGGTCCTCAGCCAGAGAGACAGCAAAGCGTAGGCTGAAGGGAGGACAGGTCTAAATGGGGGGCCATTGTGGGGGGGTGTCAGGTGCTGGTGGGCCATTGTGGGGGGGTGTCAGGTG